AGAATTCACCCRGCCTGTGCCGTCTCCAAGATTCGAAGTGCATTCCCTTCTCAAGAGTACTGTGGTTTCCAGTACCCGTGACATGTCAAACTCTGTRGTGTAATGTTAATKACAATAAATGTATATAGTAACTGACCACTGCTGCTTGTGTGAAAATGTTTTTCTCATTTCTTGTCAGCTTTTGAGACCTTGCTACACTTATTTTTCAGGAAACACAAAAAAATCTTTACCCCAAACATAATTTTAGATACTCATAGATTTTGTCAAAAAATGACATCATACAGTATTGAAATACAACGAAAAAGTATGAMGACATGAAATGTTGATCATCACATTTATTTTTACTAAGTAATGTCACATCAGTTGTGTATTGTTGAATCGTGACTTGTGGCCAGCTATGGCTTCAGTCTTCACAACTTTCTCAAGTCTTGAGGTGAGGGGRGGAACAGGAGTTTGTGGGGCCAGACTCATCGTAGGAGGGGAACTCCAGCCGCATCTGCCACACGAGTTCCATCAGCTGTCTGACAGTCTAGAATGACAGGACAACAAAATGCCTATCAGATTTATCAAAAGAAAAATAAAGGAATACAAATTAAAGAACAAAAAAACTAAACCTAACAAAATGAGTAATTAGCTGCCTAAAGAGTATATCTGAGAGCAGGATACAAGTGATATTCTTGTATTACATAAATGGAATTTATGCAAAAGCATTCCACATCGTCAAATCAGTGTCCATTTTATTACAGATGCAGTGAAAGTGCGTACAAGCTAGGGCTGATGTTTGTTGTGAATAACTGGATACATACAGTGGGGAGAACAAGTATTTGATACACTGTTGATTTTTCAGGTTTTCCCACTTGCAAAGCTTGTAGATGACTGTAATTTTTATCGTAGGTACTCTTCAACTGTGAGTGATGGAATCCAAAACAAAAATCCAGAAAAATACAATGTATGATTTTTAAATAATTAATTTCCATTTTATTGTGTGAAATAAGTATTTGATACACCAGAAAAATGAAACTTAATATTTGGTACAGAAACCTTTGTTTGCAATTACAGAGATCAGACGTTTCCTGTAGTTCTTGACCAGGTTTGCACACACTGCAGCAGGGATTTTGGCCCACTCCTCCATACAGATCTCCTCCAGAGCCTTCAGGTTTCGGGGCTGTTGCTGGGCCACACGGACTTTAAGCTCCCTCCAAAGATTTTCTATTGGATTCAGGTCTGGAGACTGGCTAGGCCACTCCAAGACCTTAAGATGATTCCTACGGAGCCACTCTTTAGTTGCCCTGGCTGTGTGTTTTGGGTCATTATCATGCTGGAAGACCCAGCCACGACCCATCTTCAGTGCTCTTACAGAGGGAAGGAAGTTGTTGGCCAAAATCTCACGATACATGGCCCCATCCATCCTTCCCACAATATGGTGCAGTCGTCCTGTCCCCTTTGCAGAAAAGCATCCCCAAAGAATGATGTTTCCACCGCCATGCTTCACGGTTGGGATGGTGTTCTTGTGATTGTACTCATCATTCTTCTTCCTCCAAACATGACGAGTGGAGTTTAAACCAAAAAGTTCTATTTTTGTCTCATCAGACCACATGACCTTCTCCCATTCCTCCTCTGGATCATTCAGATGGTCATTTGCAAACATCAGACGGGCTTTGACATGCGTTGGCTTGAGGAAGGGCACCTTGCGTGCACTGCAGGATTTTAATCCTTGACGGCGTAGAGTGTTACTGATTGTTTTCTTTGAGACTGTGGTCCCAGCTCTATTCAGGTCATTGACCAGGTCCTGCCGTGTAGTTCTGGGCTCATTCCTCACCTTCCTCAAGATCAATGATGCTCCACGAGGTGAGATCTTGCATGGCGCCTCAGACCGAGGGAGATTTTCCGTTATTTTGTATTTCTTCCATTTTCTAATAATTGCACCAAKTGTTGTTGCCTTCTCACCAAGCTGCTTGCCTYTTGTCCTGTAGCCCATCCCAGCCTTGTGCAGGTCTACAATTTTATCCCTGAAGTCCTTACACAGCTCTCTGGTCTTGGGCATTGTGGAGATGCTGGAGTCTGATTGAGTGTGTGGACAGGTGTCTTTCATACAGGTAACGAGTTCAAACAGGTGCAGTTAATACAGGTAATGAGTGGAGAACAGGAGGGCTTCTTAAAGAAGTACTAACATGTCTGTGAGAGCCAAAATTCTTACTGGTTGATAGATGATCAAATACTTATTTCACACAATAAAATGGAAATTAATTATTTAAAAATCATACATTGTATTTTTCTGGATTTTTGTTTTAGATTCCATCACTCACAGTTGAAGAGTACCTATGATAAAAATTACAGTCATCTACAAGCTTTGCAAGTGGGAAAACCTGAAAAATCAACAGTGTATCAAATACTTGTTCTCCCCACTGTAGAATAGAATAGAGTAGAATAGAATAGAATAACTTTATTGTCTGTCCCAGATGGTGACATTTTTCTTTGACAGGGCTCCAACAACAGCATACTTGCATAAACACCCATAAAAACACATAAAAGGGACTGTTAAAAGTAACTGTTAAATACATTACAATACTGCTGTTATTTAAAAGTATTTAGAGTGGATATTGCAAGTGGAATAAGTGACTTTTTGTATATTGCTTTAAGGGCCAGAGGAACTTTGAACCTTCTGCCTGATGGGAGCAGCTGGAATGAGTGATGAGGGGATGAGCGGGGTCTTCTGTGATCAGGGTGGCCTTCCTCATCACAGAGCGGTCATGTAGTTCAGAAAAAGGGGTTTGAGATTAACCGATTATTTTGCTGGCCTGATTTTTGTTTTGTGACAGTTTGTTTTTGTGTTTCACAGTGAGGAAGTTGTACCAGAATAAAATGTTGAAGGTGATGGTGGATTCAATGAGTGATTTATAAACCAGTGTTAAAATGTCCTTGATATTAAAAGATCTCACCATAGGCTCCTTCAATGGCTTAACCACAGCACCACCATTCTTATATTTCGGATAAGAAACCTTCCACTGCTGGGCACCATCATGTTTTCTGGCCTGGTCCTTTGCCACATTATCATTGAAGCAGAGGGCTGCCAAAATAACTCTGCAAGCACAATAAAAAAGTCCTGGTATTAAAAAAGGCAACAAATAAACAATGAAACCCAAACATTATTTAATAAGCCTAAAGTGAAATAAAATTATTCATTTTGTTTAGAAAAGTAACAGTTATGTCAGTGCTGTATTACTGTCACAATGATGAACTTAGTATAACTCCTGTTCTAATTTTGAATAGGCTGAGCAAAAAGTGAACATACCTTGCTTCCATTGAGGGATGAAAAAAAATGTCCACGTTTGCTTGCAAAGAAGCAGACCACATTTTGAAATGACTCCAGGCATGATGTCTGCTCTGTAGGGCACAGCTGACGGACATCCTTCAGCAGCCTGGAGCTCAGTACAACTTCTTCGATAGCTTTCTGGGCTCTGCTGCCTGTCAACACACAATGTAACATCCAGAGGTCATGGAGCTTATAAAACCTCATTGTAAGCATTCACTGTAAATCAACTGTAGACATATACTGTAGCTCTGTCTCTTTCCATAGTGCCAGTCACAAGCTGGTTACAAAAAAAAACATTATCAAACAAAAACACAACAGGAATATCATAAACATGCCATGTTGTACGGATTGTCTGTAATTTACAGACTTTACGTCATTTTGTATGAATACGGCCATAAAGAACAAACTCAAGTTTTTTTCATGTTTGACTGATTTTTTTCAATATCCCAGTTTTAAATTTATTCAACATGTCAGAGCCTGTAGTAAAAAAATAATAAATAACATCAAATAACCATCAGAGCCTGTAGTAAAAAAAAACAATAACAACAAATAACCACCATCCAACTCGCTCTGTCAATATAAAAATAAGTTTTCCCGTTATCATTTCATCCTCCACTGACTGTACTACACTGCAATGCCCGTGCACCTGATGCGGTCCACCTGCACCCCCACCCCAAACCAAGACAATAAATAGCTGATGCAAAATCAGTTATACACAATAATAAACATATATGTTGTTGTTTATACTTATTTACCACTTAAACATCTCCCTTCTTTGTCTCCAGACTCGCTGTGTTCGCCACAACACTGTCCGACTCTGAACTGTCTGTTTGTTTCACCACAGTTTCCAAACTTGTTGTGTGCACTGCTCRTTGTTCTTCAGTCAATGTCTGGGTGTTGAAATGTCCTGCTGACAACAGAGGACACAAWTGAGRGACACTGACAGTGAATAAACCATGGCAGGTGAGAATGATAACGAACTTGACAAGCTAACAATGCTAACGCGATGCTATCCGAATACCATGTTAGCTTGATACTAGCTAACGCGATTCTAGTCCATAAAATAAACATTTAGAAGCTAGGGTAACAAACTYARGTTAATGAACTACTACAACAGAGTAAATGTATAACAATTTTAGACTATTTCATTTGTTTATTAATGCATGGATTGTATGTATTTTCTTGTCACAAAACACTAATTTACACATTGTTTTCAGAACATACCTGTAAGACATGCTTTTCGCTTGTAACAAAAAAATGTTGGCACTGCTTCTGGTAAAAGCTCCTGCTTTCCTGGTGTGAAGCTGAGTGGACGAAGAAGCCAGAGCTTGTACTTCAGGTGCACCTCTTCAAAGTGGTCACTGCACAGGCTGTCAAACGGCTTTGGAATGTACCGTATTTTTRGGACTATAAGCCGCGACGTTTTCCCTGAACTTTGAACCATGRGGCTTATAGTCCAGTGCGGCTTATACATGGATATTATAATATTAATATGGATATATTTGGTAAATGCAATTTTCTTCTGTACTCAACTGTTGCAGCTCAGTGAAAAATCACTTTAACACAGAACTTGTGCTTCTTTTTTCTTTTTTTCAAAGCCTGAAGGTTTTTCAAATGTCAGCGTCTTTCACTCACCATCATAACCTCCATAGTTACTGGTGTAAAAGTGATCATGGTGTTTTCTTACCAAGGGTTCACTACAGAGCTGTGACCCCAGGCCACGTAGGAGGCAGCTTCATCTCTGGCAGGTGATGCTGTGGCCACAAACACCTGGTTATCAACTGCCCTGTGAAGGAAACAACACAATAATGTCTGTAAAACTCTATGACAGAAAATCTGAACTTTAAAAAATATATGTAAATTATTCTCAAAAATATTAAAACACTCTCAGAATTAATAATGACACAATAAAGGCTTGAAGTTATTAATAGTGACCCTATTTTTTTTTTTACCTCACAAAACCTGGCTTATCTTTACATGAACAAATTATGTTACATTTGCAAGCAGCAGCTAGCTGTAGCACTTCCTGTGCAGTGTTCTGTTTAAGTGACACTAAAATGAAATGATACTGGTCCAGTTTTCTTCTACAGGTCAGTTTTTGGAACATCTGATTGTCGTTTCAGTGGTGAGTGAAGCGAGTCGACTCGTTCCGAATCTTAAAGGTGACCCAGTCTGACCTCGCCCTCTGCAGGAGCTCCCAGTGGGCCGGACCCGTCGTCATGTTGAAGGCTCCGGGGTAAACCAGCAGCTGGCAGCCTGAGGACAAACAGGACCAGCTGATCAGCTGTTCTCTCCGGTACCGTCCAGGACCCCTGCTCTGCTGCTTACCTTTCCTGCTGTAGAGCTGAGCCAGCTCTGCAAACCTCATGTCGTAGCAGATCCCCACGCCCACCTTACAGAATGCTGTAGGAGCACCAGGAGAGAACAGGATCAGAACAAATCCCTGTCAACGCTGCAGGACAAAGACGAGGAGTCTCTAACTGTCCCTCACGTGTGTCAAACATGGACAGGCTGCTGCCGGGGCTCAGCGTCTCGGACTCTTGGAAGCGGATTTTCCCTGGAACATCGATGTCAAACAGATGAATCTTTAAGGAAAAACARAAGGAGTATGTGAAAATTTAGTGTCTCTGTGGGGTTAATCAGTGCAGCTGATGCAGACACACCTTTCTGTGTTTGAGGAGCATCTCCCCATCAGGGTTGAACACTGCACAGGTGTTATARAACTTCCCACTATCCTCTTCAGGGATGGATCCTGTTGAGCAGCGTGGTTCACTTATTCACCATAAAAAGTTGTTACATATTAACATTTTTAAACTTCCTGTGTGAATGACTTCTAGTCTATAAACTTGGCTTATGTATTAGTACCAGGCGAGGTCATTTCTAAACTTCTGTCATTGTTTCACATCTTCAGCTTGACTTAAAGTGCCTGTGACGTCAAATGTTTGCAATAAATACGAATGCATTTTTGGAAAGACAATAATACTGTATTATGGGAGGTGGTGGTGCAGAGGGTAGAGAACCCGAGTCTGTGATCGGAAAGTTGCCGGTTCGACTCCCCGAACCAACCAGCCCCACCTTGGGCACCTGAGCAAGGCCCTTAACCCCCCAGCTGCTCCCCGGGCGCTGTAATTGGCAGCCCACTGCTCCACGTGTGTTCACATGTGCGATGGGTAAAATGCAGAGACTTAATTTCCTCATCAGGGGATCAACACAGTATATAAAAAATAATAATAACATATTGCAAAAATAATTTCACTCTGCTGTGATGAAGAGTTGTTGAGATATTTGCATTTGAAGTAACAGGACAGGGTATCTGCAGGTTTTAGCAAGTCAAATTTAAGACTTTTTAAGACCTTTTTAATACCACCTTGAATGAAATTTAAGACCGAAAATATAAGCGATGGTTCGGGGATTCTACTGTATTACAACCAAGCACGTGTGTGTTGCTCAATAAAAAGCACCGAARATAAAGGTATTCAGTGCTCTCTGGTTAAATTAGCTGTATTTTACAAGTGCAGTTATTTGGTTAGAAACAACCAAAAAAAAAATCATCTACTAAATACATTCATGGCATGAAACTTGTGTTTTAACCTCCAGTGTTGCCTTTATACAAAAATAAGTCATCCAGCTAACTGTCAATAAACATGCAATTTAACCTGCAGCATCACTATCCAACAAGTGTCTGAAGGAAGAGAAGTTTTAACAATTTTCTGTAGTTTATTTTTATGTAATATCAGTGTTTTGAATTGAGGTACTCTGATAAATTTGAAAAATTATAGCACATAAAGTGTCTTTATAAAGGATATGTTACGGTAAGTTCTTTTTAATTTTTTTATTAATTTGTTTATTTTTTGAGTTTCACAGATTTCTCCCCTAAAATCAATAATTCATTCAAAAGAGAATATTTATAGGATTATAGCTCATGTAATCACACTGACTGATGATTTGACATCCTTCTAGAAGGCAACTTGTGACCTATTATGTTCAAAGGTTTTCTATTTCTAGTGGCAATCATAGTCATACTATTTATTCTTCATATTTGATCATTCATGAATTATATTTATCACAGTTCAGTTAGTAGTATAGTTATAAAGATGACAAACATTTAGCACATCCAAACAGACAAAACACATTGTTGTTGTTAAAACATTTTGTAGAATTAACTTGTTCTTCACGGGTTTGAGGGAAAATTAAATTTAAACTGGGACAAATGTCTTTGCTGTGATCTGGAGTCTACAAATATTGCTCTTTTAGTGTTAATAAATGTTTAATGACTAATGCAGCAGCTACAACTTGTCTTTCACGATGAGAGAAACAGGATGAGCTCCCGCTGTGACGTGCTCTCTGTCAGAACCGGAGTTCGGTCAACTTGCACGTGTTTACGTATCACAGTAACGTAAAATGTTCACGTGCATTTGGCCTGGTGCGCTTTCTATAGTAAAATATCGACAACGCTCCGAACACATAAACGTTTAACACAGTTGGACTTTAGATACAAAAGGTCGGGGCTTGGTTCTGGATGGGTAAGGGCACACAGGTAGCTCTTCAGCACGTGCAAGTTGCACGTCTTTAAAATAACTACGACACTCTGAACACAACAACATTTAACCCGGTGTTTAACATAAAGTTAGAGTTAGATAAAAAAGACACACGCAGGTCGGGGCTCGGTTCTGGAAGACGGGCTGAAGTAACGGTGTAACAGCTCAGCATCTCCTCGGCTGCAGCGAACTGGTTACATGCAAACACTTACGTTTAATGCTTAGACATTTAATAACTTATTACGTAACTTTACCTTCATGCGGGGTGGGTGGTTCTGGTAGCGGGTCGAAAAANTTGAGATATGAAAATTTCTCAAGATGCTTATTTTATGCTTTTCTTTCAGCTACTATTAGCTTAAAAACACTTTTCTTTCCTCCTTTAATAAAGTTGTAGAGAAAGAAACGGGAGTAAGTGTGCTCTTTACATTACAGAACATAATTTTATGCAATTCAGATGCATTAACTACTTATAGCCATAGCATCCTGTACTGCAAGAAGAGAGTGATTTCCAGTAGGTCAGAGTGGGCTTTTCACTTGAACAACCGCAAGGACTTATATTAATGTCATCTGTAATGTTTTGTTCCGACTGTATTGAATGGGACTCTTATTTTGAAATATCCAGTTGCTGAAACCGGCAGAAGTACCACTACTGGTTAAGGAAGTTGAGTACCGGTGTAAACAGAACCCCCGTAGACTTGTGTGACGGTAGCCTGGAAAAACCAGACCCTCGTCTTTCACTTTGCTTCGTACGAGGGTCTGGACTCTCGGTTATAGAGAAGCAATTCTTGCTGGAGGCGTGGCCTCCGTTGAAGTTGAAAACGATTGGATCGGTTGGCCGCGATGTATGTCACTGTGAAGGAGGCTAAGCTAAGAAGCTAACCGGAAATTGTGTGCGCTGTAAACAACCCTACTGAGAGGAGAGAAGTACCGTGCTGAACGAGACGACTGTAAATGAGAGCTGCTGGTTTGTCAGACAAATTTAATTTAATTTGGAAGCCGTATTAACACGGACTGGCTTCATTCACTTCTTCCACTGCCATATGCTAAACTATAAGCGGACACTGCGGAGAAAATTGACGTCCTGTTCTGATTGGCCCGGACGAAAATTCTCCTGAAGAAATCCTTGTCTGTGGTAGAAATCCCAGACGGAGCAGTGAAGGGAAACTAGAATTGAGCGGAACAGTGTAGGAAGGCAAGGGCCAGGCTACTGTGCAGGTGGATTTATTAACAAACCGGCAGACACACCATTCACATTAAATAAACTCAATATTTCCCAGCTTCTCATACAAAGAGGAAACAAAAAGCATATAAAACCTAAAAGTGTTCAGTTTTTCTGTAGATCAGCTATGACTGAACTTTTCTCATAATTATGAGATCAGGAGTCTAATTATTTTTTTATTTGGTAAATGCAATTTTCTTCTGTACTCAACTGTTGCAGCTCAGTGAAAAATCACTTTTAAACACAGAACTTGTGCTTCTTTTTTTCTTTTTTCAAAGCCTGAAGGTTTTTCAAATGTCAGCGTCTTTCACTCACCATCATAACCTCCATAGTTACTGGTGTAAAAGTGATCATGGTGTTTTCTTACCAAGGGTTCACTACAGAGCTGTGACCCCAGGCCACGTAGGAGGCAGCTTCATCTCTGGCAGGTGATGCTGTGGCCACAAACACCTGGTTATCAAC